GGAGTAATTGTATTGGAAATAACTGCTCATAACCAAATTTTTAAAGCTCATTTTTCTTATCAACTTTTAATAAAGAAAGCAAGATAGTAATGATATTTAGCGTTTGTGCCACCTACAGAAGCACTTTGTCTCTCTAAATAGCTAACATTTCATTCAAGGATTCTAAACCATAACCCTTCATTTACAAATGCAGCCTGCAGCAAAAAAGGAAAAATCTGAGCAGCAGCAGTCATTTGTTTCTGTTCAATTAAACCAGTAAAAAATGGCTGAACCTCATGCTAAAAGATGCAAGCCTTCAATAAACCTGACATGGTCCTGGAAGGAGAACACAAGAGTTTGTGTTTGCTGTGGTTATGGAGCACCCCAACCTCAGCCTGATCAGGCCAGAAGGGAAAGCTCCCCCTCTCTTTGCATCCTAATGAAGATGGGATGAGGCAGGTCGTTGTCTGCCTGTTTCTACATTACATTTCCTTGGAAGTGCATGTACAGATAGCACAAAGCCGCACAATGTTTTCCTTACAAAGACTATGCGGGTCCCTTTGCTTTGGGAGATTCTTAGAAGACAGTTCACCAGGCATTTCAAACCTTGCAAACTGATTAAGGGAAAAGTATTATTTTTCCATTTATTAATGTTTAGAGTTTAGTAGAAACTGCCAATACACAGGACAACAGGATGCCACATGCAAACAGCTTCTGTCCCCAAAAGCCTACAATCCAAACCATGGAAACAGGCAGCTATGGATAGAAACACCAGGGAAGGGCAAAGGAAAAGCAAAGGGTCCTCAGTGCTTTGACGGGCAGACAAGTAGGTGGGTGTTTGCCATTTAAATGCAGCCACAACAGGACACAACTCTTGCCTCTCCTGTTTAGAGTTCTTCCTGCTGCCTAACAGACCAAAAAAGGGTACTAATGGATAATGCTTTAGACTCCTAACACTCTTTAAAATACCAGGCATTGTATGCTACCCTTGTGGAAAGAGGTCAGTGCACTGCCACTGCCATTATCCGAGTCTTCTGAGCCTTGTACTGCTCAAAAGAAGGATATTGGTTTGCTCTGTTTATGTAAGCACATCTTTTATTGTAATATTCAGAAATTACTAGAACAGGAAGCTTTTAAAAAGTGGTTTAAGCTTACTAGTAATAGTTGAAATAGAGATCCCTAGCACATCACAGACATACAGCAGAGAAAACGTATGTACTTATATGCACAGTCACGAGCAATCCTACTGCTAAAGAACTACATCACTGGATGCTAATGCATGTGGACCATAAAAAGGAAGGTTGATAAGAGCATTGGTTGCAGCCTTGTAATTAGATTGGCATATACAAACCCTTGCAGGGCTCTACCTGTCTCAGCTGAGCTGTGTGCAGCTTGAGGTTGGGCATTCCATAGCTTGAGGTTGAGCCCTGTGACAGCAGGATACAGCCCAAGCCCGCGCTGGACCTTCAGACTGAGCCACATACACAGCTAACAGGCATCGCTGCTTTCTACCCAAACCCACTATGTGCAAACCACATACTTCTAACCAGGTTTGTTCAAGATCTGAATGAAGCAGAGCTCCCTCTGCCTATATATCATTAGAAAGCTGAGAGCTGGACGGTGGTTTCTACCTCAATTAGGTTAGGTCACCTTCAGGATGCATTTGGGTTTCAACCGAAATTGGTGGCTTTGGTCCATATTCATTCTGTGGTTTGGTGCAAAAATCAAAGCAAGGTTAAGAGGTAGCAACCTTCACAGAGCTTCCCACAGTCCCAGAGCAGCATAGCCCTGATGTGAATGAACAGGATAAATGGACCTGGCTATGCAAACCAGCTGTGGGACAGGCAGATGATATTTGAGGCCCCCTCCAGACCTGTTTTCCATACAGTCTGTGCCTGATAAAGGCATTTAAAACAAATTGAGGATCAAAAACTACATCAGAAGTGAACGTGCCAGAGGATACACTAGAGAGTCACCGATTTGCTCCAAGCAAATGTGACACTGCTTTGAAAGCCCCATGTAAAAAGCAACAGCCACACATAAATTTGTTTAAGCCTTAAACATTCAGATAAAAGCAAACCCTAGAATATATTAGTGATGCTTTGCTTACTAAAAGCCACTGTTTGGCAGTTTATGGTTTGATTTTGAAGGATTTGTCTCCTGGTACACGAGGCAGAGGGGAGAGAAAGGGATGTCAGGGCTTGATGTGGAAGTGGAGTGTATGGATACTGCTACAACGTGCTCCACTCCCCATTATCAGCATTTACAACATGCCTGAGTTTTTCTTGAGCAAGTTTGCGGTGCTCATTAAAATACTGTGAGCACTTACTGGCTATAATGAGCACTCATTAAATTCTGGCAAGTGCCAGGACTGTTGTGTGGAGTTGAACAGACCCAGGGTCTGGGAGGAAAGCTCAGGGGTGGGAAGATACTGGAAATACTACATTTTCCACAAGAACAGAAATACAAACTCTCCCCTCCTTTTTTGCTCTGCAAGCACTGGGGTAACTCAGACCTGTTAAGCAATAGCTATTGCCTACTGACTACTTGAATCATTCTCCTGCCCCAGAAGGACTCTCAGCTCCTCTTATCAGAACAGGAACAAATTAAAGATTTTTTTTCCATATTTGCATCTCCTCATTTGAGAACTTTCCTACATTTGTTATTTAGAGATAAAAGTCTGCCTCTGAAAGTTCACTTAGCAAAGTGGTTTTCCCAGCCTCAGGGAACAGTGCAGGAGGGATTGCAGAGCAGCATCCAAAGAGCCAGTGAGGCTGCAGGAGCAGCAGGAGATGAATGGGTGCATACTGGGACAAGGATTCACATTTTACATGCCTCTTTCTTGTATCTATCTCCAATTGGCTGTGTCAGAGACACACACCCTGACTAGCGTGGCCATGCCTATAACCATAAAGCAGTTCCCACTGCAGGATTCAGTGCTACCATCTGTGGTTTTATCACTAATTGCTGTTCATCACCTACTAACTTCAGAATATACGAATTAACTAAACCCATATACAAAATACACTTTACCCTGGACTAATCCCTAGTGAATGAGAAGGCAAATGACTGTTTAAGGAAACAGAATCGGACAAGAGCTGGAAGATTAGTGCATCCCCCCCAAAAGCCAGTGTATATCCTAGTGGGATGGAGAGAGCTGCTGGAAGTGGGAGGTTTCCATCCGTATCTCTAAGATGTATCGCGGACATATCTCTACCTTTCTGCAGATGGCCTGAAAAATGCAATGCATCAGGAGAAGGCAGTGAGGGAGAAAGGAACAGAGAAGTTCACCTGCCTTCCCAAGCAGCTTGTGGAGAGTTGACTGACCACCACCACCAAATAGCATGAAGCATAGGACCGACATATCAAAGTTATGTTATTCTAAACAAATAAAGTTACATTTCTGAAAGGTGAGAATCTGAAATCCCATTATTTTGTGCTTGGGCACTGCCTGTATAATGAGCATATGACAGTCTCCTATCACATCAGAAATATCTATTTTTCAACTACATTTATCTAAAGACCACAGTTCAGCACAAAATGTATACCAAAATGACACCCATTTCACAAGATTAAACACCTGGTCTGGTTAAGCATTAATTGCTTACCAGTTTGGCTCACTCTTTACCCACCCACAGGAGCTTTTTGTGGATTACTGCTTTATAATTGCTTGCTCCCTAAGTACACAGGCACTGCAATCTTCTGCACACCTTGACAGCATCCTGGTTAGAGGAAATGAACGCTACAGTTCCCCTGACACAGCATTTTGTCTGTTGGATACAGTAAGTCAGAGACTGTTTACTCAACTTCTCATGGCCCATTAATGACATAATGTTGGACACAGCTGTTCAGGACTTCACAAGACCAAAGCACAGAAAGAAATGCCGGGAGACTTCAAACACACTGCTCACATCAGTGCCTGGCAGGGAAAGCCCTTGAAAGTGGTCTAGGGGAATTTAGCCTTACAGCTCTCCCACGAAGTAAATCCAGGATTAAAGCCTCAAACTCAGTTTCTCCTGAAGACTCAAATTATCTTAAAATAACTCCATCTGACCAAGGGGGCAGTGACTGCTTTGAAGCAGAGGGGAGCAATCATTTAATTTTCATTCTGCCTGGACAAATTATCTACTGAAAAACCAGGGCCTGCAATATACAAAGGCTCACTAGCTCTGGAAGGGGGGTGAGCCTGGTTTATCATGTTCTGACTTCCAGTGTGTTTGAGCAGGAGGGGTGAAGCTCACACTGTAAAAAGACAATTCAAGGTTAAGGCACCCCTTAAGATCTCAAAAAGAGTTTGAACAGAGTTCAAGTGATGCACAGAGCGCTCTCGGCCTCGAAGGCACAATCTGGCCCAATGCAGTCTACCTCCCAGTACAGCTGCCCAGCATTTTTCTAGGGACTTCTGGAAGGCTAACCCTGGCCAGTGAATCTGTACAGCAAGGGAATGCTGCTGGCAGGACTGATGTGCACCAACCAACCATGCACAATGAGGACAAAGATATGCTTCTCCTAAGTACCGCACCCAGAAAGTCACCCTGCAAATGTTATTTTTCTTCATGGAGCTTCTGGAACCATGCCGTTATGGAAAAATAAAACATGAATTCTCCTTAAGAAAAAGGCAAATCAAGCTTCCCAACTTCCCAGTCATGGACAAAAGCAGAAAAAAATCTAAAAGAAAGGCTTGAACCCATTCCCACATCCTGGTTCAAAATAACCTATTAATCTTAAAACACTATATAACTGAAAAGTAGGGGAGGGTGGTGCATACCGTTTACATATATACATGTATATATACAGCAGGCAGGAGGAACATGATTTGCAACACTGAGCTGATTCTTCAGATTGGCAATACTGTAGACATCACCAGCAGAAAAAGAGGATCACTGGGTGAATTTGTAGGAACGGCTATCCATGGCAACTAAAACACCCCCTTATCAAAGCTCTATCTGAAGTCATGCTCAGAGGAAAGACCACCACCCTCCCTCATCTTCCCCACACCTTCCAGGGTAACCCCTACTTACAATTGTGAAGTTCATAACCTTCAGAATCCAGATGGTCATAGCAAGGTTCACCAGGATTAAAATCATTAGGAGCAGCACAAAGAAATAGAGGCACCTCTTCCTCCAGCCATAAATCCCCACTTTGTATACCTGGGGTCCTTCTGAGGTCTGCATGGTGCTCCGGTGTGCGTACTGTTCCTGAGGCATCTGAAACGACCACAAAGAAATAACCACGTGTATTAAATGGCAAGAGAAGGACAATGATAACAGCTGTTTGTGTCTGTGCCTCTTAGAGAGTTTTGTTCTTTCTTTTTCAGAGTTGACCAGCTGGGCAGCATCTTCTTCCATACCTTAGTTCTGCATTATTTTTCTTTCTGCTTACTGTATGCAGTAACATACCAAAAGAGAATTTTATGTGTTAAATGTGTATATATATATATATTTATAAACACATGTAAGCACGCTGTCTAAAGGTATCCTGTGGGGAAACTCTCGAGTGACACTGCTCATCGCCCCAGGTTTTGCAATGGGGCAAGGAAGGATCCTGAGTGGAAAATTTTGCATGCATTTGGTAAAAGCAGTTGAGTTCAGCAGTTTGTTTTGAAGATGCACTATGACTTCTCAGAGGCTTTAATTTAATATATATATATGTATATATGTATCTCAGCTAAAATCATTCCTTCCACCCAAAGCAAAAAGGCAAAATGCAAGTGTTTGCCTTTATTCTGTCCTGCACCCCAATCTTTCCTAACCAAGTAAACCTGAAGCACAAGTTTCTCCAGCTGTCACATCCCTAACAAATGATTCCTGAATATCTGTGCTGGCTTAACCCTGCGTGGGCATGGCATCCTAGAAGAACACCAGGGGTCAAACTCATTGAAAGAGGGAAGGAAGGAAGGAAAGGCGGCGTTGAAGAAATCAGTGCAGCAGCATCTCCAGGAAGAACTGCTTCACAGTCCCACATGGTGAGCTCTGTTCCCCTCCTACACCATGGTAGCTGGCTCTGGGCAGTGAGGGATGCAGCTGCCCCCACTATGGATTGGAAGAGATGGGTGCTTTTAAATGACATTTCAACCAGATGGGACAGGGGTCTGGAATACAGATACTGCACAATAGCTGTGTGCAAGCTTCTGCATGCACAGGGCATTGTGATTGTGGAGCACACAAATGAAAGTATTCACATTTTTCTTTTGACCCTTCACATTCGCGGCATGGAAAGCCACTTTCATGGGTTTCCCCCAGGCAGCAGTTTCTTGTTTTCAGACTTTTTTGACACACACAAACTGAGGATATGAGACCATCTCGAATAACACACAGTTTGCCAAATGTTTTGCACTTATACTCTATACAGATAAGGAAGCACCAAACACGTTCTTGCATTACTGATCCAACACCATGGACTGGCATTGATGGTTGTACGTAGTGAATTCCAAAATTCATCTACCAGGAGGAAACAATGTGAATTCCTCTCCTTGGGAGTGTGATCTGTGAGGACATGATGAGACAATGGTAGAAATTAGATACCCAGTGATAGCAGCTTATATTTGTTTTCTACTAGTTTCCTGGTCTTTCCCTAACTTTTTTTGTTAGCAGGGTCATACTCCAGCATCTAATAAAATTCAACGTGCAGTCAGCAGTGGGGCAAAGCCCACTGCAGGCTGATGCAAAGCAAGTTTCTTCATGGCATAAATTTTGTTCCAGTAGCATTGCACCAGGGATGAAGTTATCGATTTATCTTTGCTGCTCCAATGCTGAAGCCCATACATTTAAGGCAAGGGCTGCCGCTGCCTGAAGAATCAGTTACCTTTTTTTCCTACCCTTCCCTGCTTCAAAAGCTGCTAAGACCTGTGTTTTCTAGTGCTGCCTGGTGCTGTCACCTGCAGCACAGGCGATCAGCCACCTCTCCCTTCTTTTGCAAGGGTTCAACCAGGCTGAAACATGCGCTCGAGTACTAAATAAATCCATTCAGGCACTAAATTCTTTTGAGCTCACAGGCATTGACACCTCTCCTGATATGGACCTATAAAGCAAAGCTGACTTAGCAGCCTATTCAGGAAGGCTGTGTTTAGCCCAATTAGCCTCATGTGCTCTCAGCCCCACTCCCATTCCATGAGCAGCACTCTTCTGGAGGGTGGTGATGCCCATCTGCCTCATTCCCTAATGTCAGCAGACCCCCACACTCAAAATCCACAGCAGTGGTCAAGAAGGTTTTAAAAATAATAGTAACAAATGAGATATTCCTATCATTTTCCTCTCAGGTTTCTGAAGCATTGCATTTTTAAGGATTTTTCCCCTATATGCTCTAGGTCTACAAAACACCAAGGAGAAAAGCAGGTCAGACTTGTGCAATCAGTGTGGTGCTGCTAAGCAGCACCCACAAGAGAGGCTGTGAGCACCAGTGCTGCCCATCTACAGCCTGAGCTTCCTCCTTCAGATGATACTGCTGCCAGTGATTGCTGAACTAAAACTAGAGCAAGGCGAGCCCCAGCAGCCCATCCACGCCTCCAAGCCTGCCTGCTTCTTCCAGCTTTTTTAGCTGCTCTAAAAAAAGGATCTCACACCCTGCTCCCCAAACCATGCCTTGTTTACAACCTCAGACTACCCCAACCCCAGCTAATGCTATGAGGATCTACAACGTCAATTGTGCAGACAGTTGTATTGTGTCTGCACGATATGACAGGAGGAGCCAATGGCTCACGGCACATAAGCGTGTTCTCTAATACGGGTTGGTTCAGCCAGTTTATCCAGTGTGCATTAGAAGTACATCACCACAGAAAAGTGTGTCTGTATTAAAGAGCAGGTTTTGGTAGCGTAAATAGGCTCATCGTAAATCAATTATGCTGTTCAAGCTGGGGTATCACTCTCTACTGTGAATCCACCCAAAACCAAGGCAGACATAGATTTTACCAAGGGGGATTAAAGCAAGTTGGTTACAACAGACCCAGCTCTGTCTGGAGCAGTGTTTTTGCTCGCAGATGCCAAGATGGAAGGCTTTGCAGCAGAGAGCTCATCAGAGAGAGAAGCTGGGTCACCAACAAATACATGCACTTGGAGAAAAACAGGCCTTTTTACACAGCTACAACTACTCCGATCTGTGCAAAGGGAAAACTTAAACAATACATTACTGAGTTTCCACTACCTGGGGGAAATTATAACCACAAGTACTGTACAGGCAAGGATTTTATTGCCTAATATTTTAACAGGGAATCCTGGAGAGCACATATTAAATGCAGCCTCTCCCTTGGAGAAAATGAATAAATTGCATCGCTAACCCTCTCAAATTGTGGAAGACATTTGACCAATGAAAAACAATATGAAACACCCAGCTCAAAATATCTCTTATTGCAAAACTTGTTTATCCTCTTGCTCTTTCTCCTTTTTTTTTTTCCCTTTGTTTTCTCTTTACTTGCAGTCTCTAGGATGGAGAAAATAGCATATCCAGCTGGGGCAAATGTTTGCAGATACTAAAAGAATTTATAGGAACAGAAAATAACCAAAAAGAGCAACTTTTGTTCACACAGCAGCCTCATTTTGATAATTTCTCTGGTTCTGATGAAATATTTAGCTCAAAGCTGCTTTAGCAGAGATTGAGCAACTGAAGTACTACAACATGCATGGTGAACATAGCATGTTCTTTCTATAGAAACTTTCACACAGCTACATGTAAAGCTATGTATGATTTCTACACACCCTTTCCCCTCAAACTGTCAATACCAAAACAAAATCCTCTTGTCTGTAGTTCTCAAGGAAGGAAGACAGAATGATGGACAGAGAGTGCTAAGGTGCGTTAGATAAATGAGTAGAATAAGCAGGCAACTCCACAAGGAGCCAGCTATATCCACTACCAATAATCTGTTCTGTGTGGGAGGGAAAGGTGTGCTAGCCATAAATTACATTTTGGTCATTTTGGTAACTTCTCGTGACTCAAACACTGAAAAGAGCTAAGGCACCATAAAAGTACTGCTGTGAAAGGGCATCTAGCAGTTGCATGTATAAGGTAACCCCCCTTTTTCAATTACTGAGCTGAGGAGAAAGGCTGACAGTTACTTAATAGAGCTTTATTTCTTCTTCTGTAATGAAAATATTAGGAACAAGTGCCTAATTTCATCATAGTGGTGAAAACATAATAGTGAAATAAATACAGAAATTGGAAAGAGAAGCGTTCCCTTCAAAAGACAAATCTGAAAGTGTCTGCCTGACATGAGAGGGCTTAAAGACACACATGCACAGCACTGGACCACCATCAGCACATGTACAGTCCCATTTACAATACAAGAAATGCAGTATGCCAAATCTTAGCAGTTTAGCCACAGACAACATTACCATGACTACAAAAGTATAGCCTGGAACCTGGGTAATTCTCCAAGGAATTCTTGCGGCTGCAGAAAAAAAAACGGGTAATAAGGTTTTGCACAAGAGCTGTACACTGAATCCTTATATATGAACACTGCAAACAAGGCCTGATACAAAATCCAGTCTGCTTAGAAAAGCTATTCATCCTTTCACTTTAGGGTACCTTAGAGATATGGTCTGTAACAAGAAAGATTTATTTGGGTTTTTGTAAGACCACTGGAAGAGTCATGTCACTATGTCCTCTGATCCACACAGGCTGCTCTCAGAGTACTTCTGGCAAAGAAGCTTCTGCGCTTCCCTTCAGCAAAGCTGAAACCAGGCTCAGCTGAAAGGCATCACAAATCAGAACTGGCACTGAGCTTCCAAAAATCACATCAGATGCCACAAGTTATGGCAAATCTTTATTGCATGCCTCTCCCGATTCCACCAAGCCCTTCTGCCCTGGCAGAAAGCTTCTGACTCAGGGCACACAACCCAGATCAATGATTCATCAGGCAGAATAAGTGATTTGTATGAATATAGATGGATAAACACCTTCCCCTTGCAAATACCCAGAGCTGTAACACCCCCTGGCCACGCTGGCTTTGTAGGCTCAATGAAGGCTATGAACAGGGTGAAGCATAACAAGAGAAATCAATAATGTTTCTGTGCCACGGGGGTGTCTTTGATCAGTGCTTAAATGATGTATGTTTAGTAATAGAACAATTTTAAGCTGAAAGGGGATGCAATATGGGAATGTAGCTTCTCTCTTTTAAGCCCACTTGAAATTTGCTGTCAAAAATGCCCTAGAGCTCATTGAAACTGGTCACTACAAACCAGACCAAAAGCCCTTAAGACCTGTGCAGCCGACACAG